CTTTGACCCGCAGATGCTGCCTGAAAACCTTAACACTAATGGGAAAAGCAGCACATCAATGGCAAAGTGCTGACCTGCCCTGTGGCCATGCCTTCTAAATAATGCACTTTATTCTGTTTGGTTTATTGTAAAATGTGTAAATAAATCCTTGCCCCAAACCATGTATGTAGGGGAGAGTGGGGCTCCCTGTGCCTGACTGAACCAGACGGTGGCTGCAGTGAGAGCTCTGGGCTGGGAGCAGAGCACGGGGGCCAGGATGCTGCTTGCACTGGCTGGCGGGGCGCGAGCTTGGGGCTCTCCGTGGTGCAGAAGAGTGCTGCTGGGACTGGGCCACAGGGGGACATCGGGCAGGCTGGGACGGCTGTCTTGGGAGTCGCATGCCACGTTGAAGGAGTGAGTGGCAGGGGCGGAAGGAGCCATGCTCAGCCCCCAGCATGGGGGAGGGGGCGTTCCTCCATGTCCCTGCAGGGCAGGTGCTCAATTCTTCAGCTCAGGCGCCTGCCAGGGCCAATGGGGTGCTTAACTAGTCCTGTGCGAAGCTTCAGTTGCTGATTCAATTCAGAGGAGATTCAGCCTAATTCAGTGGCTGAATCTCTGAATTGAAGCAGGAAACCAATTAAAACATCCCAAATTGATTCAAAGCTTCCAAATTGATTTGGAAGATTCAGAGATTTCAGGCAGTCCCTGCTTGCTGCAGGTAAATGGGAGGGTACCATGGGGGGACCCTTGCCAGGCTTCATCTCCTGCCTACTACAGCCCCCCTGACCTCCAGCCCCGTCAACAGCTGCCCTGCCCGGCCCCAGCGTCCTGGCACTTTAAAAAAACAAGACACCCCCCCTCCCCTTTTCCTGGCAGGAGCTGGTAAGTGCAGGGCTTTTTTTAAGAGCTGGGATGCTGGGGCTGGCCACGCAGGGCAGCCATTCATGGGGCTGGGAGGGTGGGGGAATGAGACCTGTTCAATTTGGAGATTCAGTCGAATCGATTCAGGACAGCGATTTGAATCACTGTCCTCTGAATCGGCTGAATCCGAAGCAAATACTAGCCGCTTTGCACAGGCCTAGTGTGTGCTTGCGTACATCTGTACCCCCTGGCCCTACACGTGACTGAGTCCTACTGCTGTTCCACCAGCTCGGGGGCTGGCCCTGTGCAGGCACCAGGCTGCCCCGGTGCTGATGGCATTGGATGTCGCTGCTGAACGTGGTTCATAACCTGTGATGGGGTGAGGGGTGCAGGTCGTGCAGAAGGGAAACAGGCAGCCAGTTGGCAAGGCCCTGCAAACAGGGCAGGGCTGCCAGAGAGCGAGGGGCTGAGCCCTTGAGGTCAGAGGGGTTGTGCTGCCCACCCCTCCCTCCTCTCCTGGAGGGCATTGCAGCCTGTCCCCCAAGCACCAGGCAGTTCTGACCCAGGTCAGAAGCAGCTCTGGTGGCAGAGGCAGAGTCTGACTCGGGCCTGAGGACACAGCAGGGATGTGGGGTATCTGGGTCCAAGTCCTTGCTCCAGCAAATATTTCTGCTCCCCATACAGCACTAGCTGCAGGAAGAGCACCCACAGCCCTGAGGTCAGGGCGCTGCATCAGGCCCCACGTCTCCTGCAGCCTCAGGGAGTCATCCTGGGATTCGGCTGTTAGGCAAGAGAAGCGTCGCAGAACCACTGATTTGGTTTTTCAAGCGCGGCTGATGCAGAGCTGCCGCTTGCTTTACTTGCCTTGGCAGGTGCTGAGGGACAGTCGGGCGGCTGAGATGAGCCTGGCATGCGGCTGCCATCTGGCGGAGAGCTGCACCGCGACGGATACTCTGGTGGGACGGTCCCTTTCTTGTGCTAATCTGAGAGCTGGGGAAAACAGGGATGCTTCGCTCAGCTGCTTTTCTACAGCAGCCACAGGTGATTGCCTGAGAGTAAATGTAGCCAGAAGGTCTCGGGGTGATATTTTCTGACTCCCCATGGCCGAGCATGAGCTTGTCAGCTGTTCCCCGCCCCCATGCCCAGGTGTTCATCTTGTGCAGTGAGACAAACCAGTGCTGAGACATGGGGAAAGTGGGGCTGGGGGAGGCCTCTTGTGCTTGCCCTTGCTGCCCCCTCAATCCACAACCGCAGCCAACCCAGGAAGAAGCCCAACAATGCCAGGCCCTACAGATAGAGAGCAGAAGTGACAGGGGAGCCCCACTGCCTCGGTGACTGCAAGGGCAAGGAATGAATTAGGAAGTCACGACCAGCTGAAGCTTTTTCTCTGGGCACGTACACAGGGGCCAACAACCCAGGGTGGAAGCACCTCTGAAACACAGTACTGGGGCCCTACCCCAGAATGGGTGCAGCATCGCTGCCCTATTAGCAAGTGTCCTGCACCCCTCTAAGCTCCTGTCTTAGGTGTGTTCACTGGCACAGGCTAGGTGTGGCCATGGCTCGTGCAGGTGAGTAGTGCGGAGCAGGAGCATCCCGGCTCTGCTACTCCCCTGCTGTTCTTCAACCTGCAGCCAGCCCCGTGCGCGTCCGAGACGGCGTCGTTACCCTACGTGCAGGGCTGCGCCTGTGCTGTACTGAATACATGCAACACAGGCTCGCCCATGCAGCAGGCCTAGTGCTGCAGCCTGCAGGGCCTCCTCGGAGCTCTGCCATCCAGTACTCACCTGGAGTCATGCCCTAAAGTGCAACCAGCTGTGCAGCTTCCGTGACGCACTGTTTATCTTCCTGCTTACGCCTGCCAGAGCTGTTGTGCCTTTTGCAGATAGGGGAAGAGGTGGGAAGCCCTGCACCAAGCCCCCAGGGAAGGAAAACCAGCCCTGTCCTCTGCAGCTTGTGTAGGAAGTCTGAACAAGTCTGCTCCTGGGTCTAAATGTGGTCAGTGGCTGGAGCGGGGGATGCAGACCAGAATCCTAGCAGCACTGCTCAAGTCTACCAGTGATTCCTTTTCGGGCAAGTCCTAGCCTCCTTTGGCATTTTCTCCAGTCAACTGGTGATGTGCAGAACAGGTTGGGTAGTGCATGTACGAGGTGAGAGTCAGGAGGGCAGGTGGGAGCGATTACCTCTTTGTCTCCCTGCCCATTTTCTGGGAAAGGAAACTGGCTGGTAGGATAGGTTGTTCCACTGCTGCAATGCCCCCAGCCACATTGCACAGTGACTTTGGAGCAAATGTTGAAGGGCCCCACGTTCGACACCTTGGACCAGGAGTCGGAGCAGGCTGAACACGGAAGCACGAAGTGCTGGGAACACGGGGCAGGCTTTAGGCACTTTTCCCGGTTTGGGGCTCTAAACCCTCCCCCCGCTTCTCTGCACAACACGCAGGTGCTTCCCCTTTGTGCAACAGCTGCTGCTAGAGCCTTTGCTCGCACTGCAGGACCAGGAGGATTCAGATCCGGCGGCGGCTGTGCCACGTACCAAGTGCTGTCCTTGGACCATAGCAGTCACCTCCATGAGCAGACTGGGAAAGTGGGACATTTTGTAAACATGGGGCATCTGGTCACCCTCAGCCCTAAATGCTGATGGGGAAGGTGCAGGTAGGGAGACAGCCTGATGGCGCTTGAGAGCAGCATGACAAGTCCTGTAAGCAAGAACGGGAGGCCTGGGAATCCACACCACAGCGGGGGGCGAGAGAAGGGAGGGTGAACCAGGGAACGGAGCTGCGCTTTGTGCTACGTACACAATAGGGAGCTTCAGAGGGCGAGTTAATGGTACAGGGACTGCCTGAGGCGGCGGCAAGGCTACCCTTCACTGTACTTGGCTTTGTCCTCTGGAACTGAGCTGGAGCGTTGCCCCCTCGTTGTGAAAGCGACCTGGGCCCCACATAACCAGTGGCTCTCGCACAGGACACCAAGCTCCTTCCACCCCAAGGCATGGCCATTAACATCTAGCAGCCAACTGCAGCCCCTCTGAGGGGGACACAACACCGCCCTTGCAAGCAGCACTGATGCATTGAAAAATAGACAATGCCATCACCTCGGCCAGAACTTGAATCTCCAAGGTACCAGAGCTCAGCTTCCTGCTGGGCCCTTTGCTGCAGGAGGCAGAAGATGAACTCTGCCGGCCTCTCAGCCCTAGAGGAAACAGCAGAACTTGGCCTGTGACACTGGGGCAGGCAAAGGCTGAGCAGGGGGAAGGGTTAAGCCCTTCTGAAGACTTACCCCATCATCGCTGGCTGGCCCTTGGTTTGAGGATGATTGACCGTGGCTCACTGATGGGTCTCAAGGCGACTCAGAAGTACAATCCTTGAGCCACAGACCTGTCCGCAGATGTTGCAGCTCTTTCTGCAGGGTAGCAGGCCGAAGGCCAGCATTTCTCTCCTTTGCCTTCCTCTGCTCTCTCTTCTCTACTTCCAGGGCAAGACACGTCACCTTGAAGTGGGCTGCCACTTGGTTGAGGCGGCGGCACCATTGGAGTTGGTTGGCAGCCGGCTTCTCCCAACTCGATGCTGGCATGTTTTCTTAAGGTCCGCCTTCAACGTGTCATTGTAGCATTCCCCATGGCCACCGAGAGATCTCAGGCCATTACTAAGCTGGGAGTCGAGCACTTGTTTTGGGAGTCGCGCGTCAGGCATCTGCACAGGCTGTCCAGTCCAGCAAAGCTGGTGCTTGAGGATCACCGACTCAGTGCTGGGAACACTGGCGTCAGCAAGGGTGCTTGTGCAGTGATCTTCCCACGTGATGGGGAGGATTTTCTGGAGGCATCATTGGTGATCTCTCTCCAGGCTCAAGAGACCCACCTGAACCAGCTGAGCAGCAGCAGCAGCGGGCAAAGGCATCCGCTGTCAGTTGCAGCGTACTGAAGGAGAGGGTTTTCCTTGTGTCCAAGAAGCCACAGACGCAGACCTCACGTGCCCTGAACTCCCGGCTGCCGCCAGAAACACCTCCCGTTTAAGAATCATAACCCATGTTCTCAGACAGATGTCACAGATCTACAATATTAGCACCTAGAAATTAACGGCTTTCACACTAGCGATTTCATACTATTGACTGCAGTAGCGAAAACACACATGCCAACAGCTGTCAACACTTAAAAAGTGCCCAGAAAGGAAATTTAATAAAATATGGCTGTTCTAAATTACACAAGTTAAAACATAATCCCATTTTAATTACAAGGATGGCAGTGCTGGAGGTTTATTGTACAGTAACGTTTTTAAAACATTATTTCAGCTTAAAAGGAAACAATCGAAACCAAGTCATCGGTATTTTCATACCTTTTAACACAAGGAAAAGATGGGAGGGGGAGGAGCCTGCTCGCAAAGAGAGCACAACAGTGTCCTTTATACAGAAGGTCCAAGCATTAGTCTTCCTGAACAGAAATGGAATAAGACCAGAATGCATTTGACCAGAGGCCAGATTATCAGGCTCTAGCATTTGAGCACGTACAGGGTAACCTAGTCGAGAGGCCGCAACCCACGGTGTCAGGTGCGGACCTTCCATGGCCTTCAGCAACGGGGATGCCTCTGGCGGGCCCTCTCCCCAGGCTGCTGGGGAGACAAACAGCGGTGTGGCGGGGTCAGTTCTGACCTGGGGTGTCTTCTGGCCCACCACCAAGAGCAGTTGCCTCCTCCTGGTTTAGGGCCCGGTTCCAAGGGCTGGCGGAAGCCTTTAGAACAGATTGCCCCTGAGTGACAGTCAATACTGAGCTGTTCAATCAGTGGATGGTCAAGTAGAGAAGTAGGAGTCTTCCCACTCTTCCTCGTCTGAAGGCTTTGACGCACCCGCTATGAACAGCCCAGCATGCTCTGCCCCTGCAAGCAGGTAAGAACGAACACTTGTCACCATACGCGTGTGGAACTGAGCTGGCCAAGCCAAAAAAGCACGTGCACAAGTTGCACAAGCAAGTGGACCTGTGGTCAACCACCCAGGAGCATCCTCCGTGCAGGCGGAGCGCTCTGCACTTCAGACAGGCCTGGCACAGGGATGAGAAGCAAGAGCTCACCTTGGTCCACGGCGATGGTTCTGCGAGAGTTTGGAGTAGCGCACACAGTTCCAGCCTGGCATGGACAAGAGGAGAGAGTTGAGGCACGAGGCAGCCACTCATGTCTATTTCTGCAGCATCGTTATTTGGAGGACGTGAAAATGCAGCCTTCACAAGACGAAGGAATTAAGTTGTCCTGTTGCTAAATGACTGCATTGCTACACCCTGAACAAGCTGCAAGGTCTAATCCCTCCTACCAAACTAACAGCACAAGGCATTTTTGTACCTGGGGCCTCAAAGGGTCACTGGGGTTAGAGCACTGTAGAGCAAACGCATTGGGCAGTGATAACCAGGTGCTGCTGAAACTTTAGAAGGGGAGAACGGATCATTCTCTTCCTCAAATTACAAATCATTAACTGCAATGACTTCTTGTTGCTCAATCTGTAAGCACCCGACTAATAAATAGCCTCAGTGTTTCTCCATTCAAGCATGGCAGAGAAAGAGCAAGTTTCAGGCAGAAACAGCCACTCTCCAACACAGCTCAGAAGCTTTTATCAGAAGTGGTCTCCCATCCTGCTCCGCC